GTGGCGTGTGAATGGCTTCTATCAGAATCACCTGTGATGATTTTCCAACATAAGCCTGACCTGGGCTCTTCTCCTTTAGGGGGTGTGGCTGTCACTGCTGAGCATGTGCCACACTCCCCAGGCTGACAACCATTGCTTTAATTAAACTTACGGACACATGTCAGAGTTTTGTATCTAAAAGTGTGAATTATTTCATCTTATAAAATGTTTGATATTTTCTATATCCTATTAAGAAGTAAAATTGTAAGCTTTCTACAGGTTTGGCTTTCTGTATGGTTTCCTTATAGTCTGCTCATCTGACTTTTTATACTTATCTCTGTTTTTCCTTGAGTTACACAATCTTTGGATACCAGTTCTCTTAAACACACACAAAGGTTCTTAAAATACTGTCCCTGGCCAAGCAGCATCAGCATCCTATGGAGATTTGTTAGAAATGCATATCCTTGGTCCCCATGCCAGACCCAGTGAATCAGAAATTCTGGGGAAGTAGCCCAGCAATCTGTGTTTTAACAAGCCCTCCAACTGATTCTGATGAACATAATGTTTAAGAACTTGATCTTATCTTAGCTCTTCCTTTCTTGCTTGTAAATTCCTAGTTATCTTATAAGACTCTAACTTCCCGGCAGACTTGCTCTCTCTTCTATGTCCTGTGGTACTTTATCACATCTCTTTTATAGCATTTATATTGCTTGCATCTGTCTACCTTTGAAGGTGGAGGCCACAACATAAATTACTTTTGCATCTACATGCAACACCTACCTTGGTGATAAGTTAAGTGCTGGTGAATAAATGAATGTATGCATGAGTGAAGGAGAAGAGCATTTAGGAGGAGTGGTGATCAATAAGGTCAGCTGCTATGGAGAGATCATGGAAAATAATGAAGGAAAAAAGCTTTTGGATTTCATAGTAAAGCAGGTGTTGGTGACCTTTGAAATGCTTGCTTCAGCAGAGTGATGGGCAAGAAGCCCAGATTACTGGGAATTAGGGACTTCTAACATGATGAAGACTTTCAAGTGCCCAGAGTTGCTTATTGATTGTTTATCTGAACATGTGGTAGAAACAGAATTTTCTTGGGAGAAATAAGTAAGTGACCTTAGGCTGGTTACTTAATCTCATTGAGTCTGTGATTCCAAATAGGCAATAATAGTAATAATGTTTGTTTTTAGTTTTTTTTAAAGAATAAAACAAGATCATTGTAACACCCTAGAATGATGCCTGACATTTAGCACTTAAGGGTTATTTTCTAGGGACTGGGATATACTGGTTTTCCAGGCCTGGCTTAAGGAATACTCTGTTTAATAAAACAGGAAAAGAATGGTTCCCCAAAAGGAAATCCAGTTTCTGTTACTTAGAATGAAAGGGAGTAGAGGCAAAGCAGGCAAAACAACTGATTCCATTTTATTGTGTAGAAAAGTATGTTTTCAAACTGGGCTTCTGGGAACTCTAGGATTCCAACTGAGAGTTACAGAGGTTGAAGAAAAGAACAGAATAACAAATGACTGCAAGTTCTCTAATCCATGCTCACTCTAGCTTCCCCAAGAATAGCTTCACTTTATGTTTTTTAGCCAATTTTGGGTTAAAGTTTCATTTGAACGTGGAATTTTAGCAGTGCCATTGTTATAGAACAATTTAGCAGGTAGTTAGGCCCATAAAGTTTAAAAGCAGGTGACTACCTTTTTTACTCCATACCACTGAAAGAGTTCTTGCTCTAACTTTCCTGCATCCCAATACCCAACTCACATTCCCAACCCTACTAATATCCAGATTCAGACATGGGAAGAACATGACATTAGGCAGAAGTCCAGTTCTCAGTTTATCTATGTTAATGACACTTAAAAAAAAGTCATCACTTAACATTTAGCTCCTTGAGGAGACATCCCTAAAAATTGTTGACAACTTGGTGACTCAGTATGGTCTGGCAATTATACAGCAGAAAATTTTGATATAGTCACAAAATTGACAGATCATCATGTTCAATGATATGTTTATGCTGAAATTTACAGTTGACATTGGCAAGCTGGGCAGTTAAATATATTTCAATCCTTTGTCTATGGCTCATCTAGGTAATTGCTGCTTAATCACACTCTTAGGACTTTTTCCTCTTCTACTATTGAATTTTTAAAACATATCCAGTCCAGCCTTTCATCCTCTATATCAGCCCAATGTGGCTCAGTGCCTGTTTGTATAAAGTTTTATTGGAACACAGACATGTGCATTACTTTTACTCTCACCTGCATTTATAACAGCAGAGGTGATTGGTTGTGAAAGAGAACATATGGGCCACAAGAAGTAAAAATATTAACTATCTGGTCTTTATAGAAAAAGTTGTTTGACCTATGCTCTTTATTTTTGTGGCTTATAACAGAATTTCTACATCTTGACATATGGCATACTTAGGAAGAAGGGTCAGTAATAATACTCTTATACACTTATAATACTCTTACTCTCTGATGTTCTTCAAAACATATCTAGGGGGGTGTTTTTGCCATACTTACTCTACCTGTGCTCTTTCAGTTCTCTGAACAATTTCTCTGTACTTCTGTACATACCCCCAACGGTTTTGTCTTCTTTATCTCATAAAACTGCCGGCTCTTTTTAAGGAGTGATACGACAGCTTTCCACCTAGCCCTTGAACACATAGTACACAAACCTGTATGTACTTAATGCATAGGCACAAGATCCAAACACATGGACAAAAATCAGGATTTGGTATCATTTTATTTCCCCTCCTGAACCCTCTCAATTTCATATTTGTTGTAGTATTAGCAGCGTCTTTTGTGAAGAAGCAATTGAGCTGGGCCAAGTGGTTCGGAGAAGAGAATTAGGGAGGAGCAGATTTTTCCTGACCTGGTCACTGGATTTTATAAGCAGAGCAGCTACTCGTCAGAAGGCTGAGTAGTTAAGCTGTACTTGAAGAAGAGCAGGGATAATAATACCTCTTTCCTGCATTTTTGCTTTTTTGCAGTCTAAATGCCCTGTGGAGAGAGAGAAGGCTTCAGTCCCTAGGCTTGTGAATCCCTTATCTTTCCCAAACGTTAAATTAATTTTTAAGGCTATTTATTCAAAGTTGACTTAACCACTAGAATAGGAAAGATCAGACAAATCAGCTGCAAGAAATGAAGTATGAGAAAACCCGAACTCTTTGACAAAGTATTCCTGGGAGTAAATGTGTTGAATGAAGCCAGCGGGTAAATGATAAGGCCCTTTACACTATGGATGTAAGAAAGCAATTTATCAAGAGTACATGAACTCTCTAGTGACCACAAGTCAGTAGGAAGTGAGAGTGGAGGAGGAGCTCTGAAAAAATACATTTGAAATACTAAAAACCGTGTGTGTATGCATTTTTAATACATGCATTAATATGCAGAAATGCTGGCATATTGAAATAAGAGTTGCTCAGAGTACACATGTACAGTACATACTATTATAGACTAAGGTGGTAGTGAGAGTGGGTGAGAAAGGCCAGGCAGTGATTTGGAACTTGTAGAATCTTTGGAGTCCTGTAGTCTCAGGTATAGTTAGGGTTTGATGCTGGATGTGCCACTCTCCTCACTCCTGAGATTAGATGGCCTGCTTTCAGGTTTAGGTGTTTATCTGTTCTAATCTCTAGAAGGTCATAGGTGTTTAATTCCAACAGTTAATCTCTTCTTACTTTTGTGTTCTCTTAAGGAGTTCAAAGCACCTCTCATTCATTATCTCGTTATCTTTGCAGCACCTCTTGGAGCCCAGTAGATGAGACAATGTTATCTTAATTGTTCACTTTAGAGAAACTGAGGGAAAATGTAATTATATTATCTTCAGTGCGGTTCCCAGTAACTCAGATAAGGATGGGGATTAGAAGGTATGATCTTATCTTGGCTTTAAACTCTAGGGAAGATACTTTTTCCCATAGGAGGAGAGGAAAAGGCCTAATTTTGAAATACTAGTTTTATTAAAAGTATTTACTTTGAAAATGGTCATCCTCAGTTGTTGTTTTTTTTTTGTATTGAGATAGTACAGCAGAAACAGAAATTCTCAAACTTTGATTGTACTCATGTTCCCCATCCCCATTTTCATCTGACACTACACTCTGGTCAGAGTTGTTTAAAAGATGGCTAAATTATGACTTGAATTTATTTTTTTTAACTGCATAACTTTTTAAATTTTTTAAAAGAGCTTATTTATTGACAGAGGGGAAGGGAGGGAGAGAAACATCAATGTGTGGTTGCCTCTTGCGTGCCCTCAACCAGGGACCTGGCCTGCAACCCAGGCCTGTGCCCTGATTGGGAATCGAACCATTGACCCTTTGGTTCGTCAGCACTCAGTCCACTGAGTCACACTAGCCAGAGCTCCTGGATAACTTTTACAGAACATGAACACTAAACTGAATCTAACAGGTGAACAGTAAGGGGTAAAATTGGGACAATTAAGTCTTGCGGTAATCCCCCTTTGCTAATTTAACCTGAAAGCCTTCCGCACAGATGTTAGCTTTCCTTATTCATTTTAAATTAGGTTTTTTAGGCTGCTGTAGTCTAAAGAACATTCTTTACTTCAAACCATTCAGGTTTTATAAATGGCGAATCTTACTTTTAAAAAGTGATACTGGTTGAGCCTATTCTTGGTGCATGAAGCAGGAATTGTTTGCTTTTTCTTTGGTGGGGAGAGAGAGGATTCCATGGTAACTTGGGGTGAACCATAGTTCAATTAGCAAATTAATTAGTCTAGTTTTTAGAGTCAGCCATAGTCATTTAGAAACATCCTTAGTGGCTCTCTTTCTGAAAGTTGAATGTGTTTTGTATTCGCTTGCTGTCCTCTGCAGTCTGCAGTGTATAAACAAAACAGGGAGGAGGTGGGAAGAGGATTATTTACATTGCAAACTGTTGCTTAAACATGCAGTGTGTGATTGTCATGCATCCTAAGAAATGGAGTCCTGATAACTTCCAGTAACTAGTTTCTGCTTTGTCTGTTTCTGTCTTCTCTCTTTGCCTCTTTATTCCTGTCTACCTGCGGAACCACCACAGCCTTGGACAAGCTCAGCACCCAGCACCTGTACCACCCTACGCAAGTGGAGATTGTGCAGTCCAACGTAGTGTTTGACATCAGCAGCCTGATGCTCTATGGGACACAAGCGGTGCCCGTGCGGCTAAAGATCCTGCTGGACCGTCTCTTCAGTGTCCTGAAGCAAGAGGAGGTGCTACACATCCTGCACGGCCTGGGCTGGACTCTGCGGGACTATGTTCGGGGGTACATCCTTCAGGTAGGGGGAGGACGTTGAAGCTGATGTCTGTGGCCAGCTCTAGGTGGGGTTGGTGAGAGTCCGTGGCAAACCTGATCTCCTTCCTGTCCCTTGCAGTCCCAGGCATGCACATCCTCTTCTGGTTAAAACGGTCCTCTTGGCAGGCTTATCAGGGGATTGATTGGAAAGAAGGAGTGATGTTCCCAATAAGTCGGCATCAGGCTTCAGTGGTGTATGTTAGGAAAGAACAAGTGGCCTGTTGCCTAGTGTCACTTTGCATCATTTTGAATCCAACTCTGTCTTCCCTGCAACATGAGCTTCCTGACTTCTCTGGCAAGTCTTGTTGTAGCCCTACTAAATAGGAGAGCTCTTTGAGGTGGGTGATGAGTACGTGGAAATCTGAGATTACTCTTCATCTGGGTTTAGTCTGGCTTGTTCTTACCCTTAATTTGTAAGTTTGGAGTTTTTTTGGTTGTCTCTGTACCCTAACTAATTATTTCTTCTTCATCCAAATCCAAGGGAGAACTGTAGCCTCTATAAATTCCCTGCTTTTATAATCAATCAACCATCACACTCCAAAACACACAGATATGGTTATAGATTTGGCCTTCATAGCACCTGTTCTTCCAGCCTGACACCCTTCTTGGTGTCAGTGGCACTTCCAATCTGATAGGGGTCTGAAAACTTTCCGGGAGGCCTGCAGCCTCCACTCCCTTCCCCCTCAACCTGCTTGCCTGTTTCATCGTAATTTGCAGTACGTTATGAGTGGTTTTGCATTGTGTACTTTGCCTCTGAAATGTTTTTATGGCCATCTGTCTTCCTACGACCCTTGAAGGGTAAATGTTGAAAACAGCATGTTGGGAGACCCCAGGATCCAAAAAGACTACAGTGGATGATGAAGAAGTACTCCCTCCTGCCAAAGGAGATCACAGTTGGAAAAGGTAGACTCTGAAGTGATTTTTGAAATTTCCTATGGGGATAATACCAGGAGAATTGACCCCTTCAAAAACATTGTTTTTTTTTTTTTTTAACTCTGCCAGCCTGTTTATTTCCTGAGTTACCTTGTGTTGTGTGCAAGGCCTTGGCTGCCAGCTTGGTATGTGATGAGTGGGGCGCCTCAAGACTTCCCTCACTTTCACCTGTCATTCAAACACACACATTCCGGTCATTCTCCTGTGTGATACCTCGAGGTGTTAACCAGGGAAGGAGAGCAAGGAGGGTTGATGAGTGAACATAGAGAAAGAGGGGAGATGGAATAACCTTTCTGCTCCCATGACTGCTATAGTTAGCAGAGAGTTATGTCTTAGTTTAGTGAGATGTCAGCTTGCAAAGCACAGAAAATTTGGTCTTCTGAAGATGATGATAGGAATAACTATACATTACATGTTATGTTTTGGAAGACTTTCACAAGCATTCTCTCATTTACCTCATTTTGGGGACATTTCAGTGGGGTGAGTGGCAAGTTAAGTCCACTTCAGTGGGGTGGGTGGTCAGGGGACCTAAAGGGGCATGCGGTCCAGGAGGAAGGGGCCAGGAAAAGCAAAGCATAGAGCCAGTTTAACAATCCCTGATTATACTGGCCTCAAGACATATCCGTGCCACATCTTTCTTCAGATGTTTCCACACTATGGTTATTAATGTCCATTTTGGATGGATTTTATCCTACATGAAAGAACAAACCTCTTGCAGGTATTTAATGGAACTGTTAGCTTGGCTAAGCATTTTTCCTGTATTTAAAACTTGAAGTATTTTGCCCCAATCTGGTATTGTCTTCATTGGCTTCACTTTGGTGCGTATTAGTGTTATCATCAATGCTGCATTTTAGTTCTATGTGTGTATTTTTGCCTAAGATATGTGGAGCATATGCATGGTGTCTTTCTGTCCAAACAAGTAGATATTTGCATGACCGTGATTGTTTGCCATCTTAACAAACCAGTTCGCTGCAGCACTCTGTTGTTAGCAAATGCAGAACCTTCTGGGTGTTCTCTGGTATGGTCCTAGTGTTCTGCCTTGACCGGTGCCTGTTTTTTTGTTTCACTTGAAATTATTGCATTGATGCTAATTTCCTCCCCAAATTTCAACATAGCTCTAAGGTAAGCATAGAAGAATACTCCATAGATACAAAATTGCAAGAGAAATTAATATGAGAGAAAAATTCAGCAAAATCACTATTTGTAAAGTTTCTTATTTTTGGGGTGAAATATTGCATATAAAGAGTATGGTCATTTATTGTTATACTTAAGTTATGATTAATTTTCATTAATATGCATATGTTTGACAGTTTTAAATTTAATATAACTTCTCCATTCAGAGTGTAAATTGACATTTTGAGAAAAATGTCAATTTTCCTCTAAGGTTGGAACACTAGGTTTAATTTTTTTCGTGTTTATTGATAGAATTGATGTGATATAGGTTTTATTTAAATGATGCTTTTAGTTATTCAGCATTTTTCATATACTTGTTCCTTGGACAAAATAGTTCTTGGTTTCAAAAAAAACAAGAAGTTGAAGGACACAAGACTGTTATCACTTGTGTGGTGAGAAAATGCTCATTTGAAAAATAATAAAACAACCCCCCCAAAAATAAGAGCTAGATTACACAAATAAACCTCTTTCCTCTAAAGCAGTGTTATTTGCTTATTGACCAATATTTTAAAACTTATATATAGTAATGATAAAGTATGCACAAATAACCTTGGTAATAATTATATGTAACATTTCGCACAAGTAGACAATAAAAATGTGTATCCAAAGGTTGTGGAACCCTATAGTGCACTATTAGTGTATAAGACATTTTATCTGGCTAAAACTCAATTCTCTTGTAGCCCTCAAGGCATCAATTTTAGCATTATTGCTCTCAACAACAGTATATTGAATATTATTTCAGTTAAAGGAGAATAATTATCAAGTCAAGTTAGGGTGGCTATTAGTCTTACCACATATTGACTTGGTTAGCAGTCAGCTATAGATTGTGTTACTGGGCAAATGAAGATGTGTGGGGAGTTGAACTGGTGAAGCCAAGATATTAATTTAACTTTCCCTGGGCCCAAACCTACATCCCTATGTGTATTCAGCTTCTTCTGGTTTCAGAGACAGTTTTGAATGTGGAAGGATTGCATATGTCTTACCTGTTCTAGAGTTTTTGGCTTTGGATGTGGGCGGGCACAAAGAGGATCAGGCCATTCTCAAGTATCATTGTAAGCATGTGTGAAATGGTTATTTAAAGAAAAAGGTGAATAATATTGATGCCATATATTCATTTAAAACACAAACAGTATCTTTCAAGAACCCTGTACTGTTTTGATAAAAATTATTTTTCACCTTTGTGATTATCTATGCAATTCATAAAGTAGCCAGCTGGGTGTAAAAATATATAGTATAGTTGGACTAAAATGATTTAAGAATCCAGGAACATCTTAAAGGTAAACAGTCCAGTATTCTCCTGTGTACCAATTAAAGTATTCATTCAGAAAGTATAGGAAAAAATAAGATCAATTTGAAGCATTTTTCCACAAAATAACAGCAAAAGGAAGTATGCAATTAGATGCTAAAATCTAGATATAAAGGAGCATAAGGGTTTTTCTGCTGCTAAAGAGTAATTCTTTTTTCTAGTATGTATATCATGGTACATTTATTGATGACAAATAAAAGCAGTGTCTTATTCTTTTCCCCTTTTTCCTGTCTTTGACCCAGGATACAAAAATATAGGTGATTATCATTGTTGAATTAATCATTTAAAAGTCATGTTTTCACAGTCTCTTTTCAGTCGAATATGTAACTGCCTTGCCTGGGCTCATAGACCAGCTTATCTTTGGAAATCTCCTTTGCAAATGAGTCCTGCCAGAATTCACAGAACCATATCAGACGCTCTGCATAATTAGCTAAGGTGTCAGCAGCCTTTTGAGAGAATGAGTAGTGATGCATATTTCAAATCACCTGTGTCTTGAAACAATCAGAACTAATAGAACAAGCAGCACTTTAGAAGAACATGTCCCAGAGTATTCTTGGGCAATAGTCTTCCAGAGATATGAATTTAGACTTGGGAGCAAGTACTCTCTGGATCTTTCTCTTAGAGACTCTTGCTAATATCAACATAATAAAGGCTCTGGGAAGTTCTGGAGTAAGTGATTGGTGAGAGCAGGTAAGGAACTTCCACCAGCCTTCCCTACTTAATAGCCTTTTCATGTCATCCTCATAAGAGGTCTTCAGTTTCTGAACACACTCAGCTCTTCTTCAACTTGGTGTGTTTGTGTGTACACTTTCTTCTGCCTGGGCAATTTCTTATCCTTCAGGTATCAGCCAAAATCCCATGTTTTCCCAGAGACCTTTTCTGTCCAGCTTTGCCAGTGCAGGCTTTTTTCTAGTATTGGCTGTATCTGAGGACTCTTTCCCTTAAGCTCTAATCCAAATTTAAATTAATCAATTAAATCAACTGTTAAAATGTCCCTCCCACACCCAGGCTTCCTCACTAGGGAACACTGAAAAGGCAGGGTACTCAGTCAATATTTGTTACATGAATGGGTAAAAAAAACTGCTATTGTTGGATGTTTCACCACAGAACTCATGGGATATTCAGTAACTTCAGTTGGTCCAAAAAGGCCCTTAGTCTTTCTTCAGACTTACTAGAGACTGAATTCTATGAGTGCACCTGGGCTGGTGAGGGCAGTGAGAAGAGAATTAAGGCTCCCACACCCCCTTGCTAGTGTTTTATGGTATCCATGTGGTAGAAAAACATCAATATTAAGCAAACACTTGTATTTAAACAGCCCCTTGTGGAGCAAGTTCACATACATTAGTTAGCTTTTTGAATTCCCAGTGAATTAACATTTGAAGTAGCTTAAGCTCAAAGAGGTTAAGTGACTTTCCTGTGATCACACAGCTGTTAATTGGCACAGGTGATGATGCACTGTAAGCTTCCTGAGGATAAGAACCACTTACCTCTTGTTCATCACTGCAGCCCACTTCTCAGGGCCCAGACTGGCACATAATAGGGCTTACTAAATAGGAGGGAGGAAGTTTTGA